TAGAAGATTACTTGGCAGATTTTAAGATTTTACCTGTAAGGCAAATCTGTGAAAAATTTTGGGGTAGGAGAGAAAACGAGAACAATTCCCGCTCTCAAGCAGTGTTGAACTCTAAGGACTGACATGCACAGGTAATTTGGGCGGAGGGATACAGGCCCAGCAAGGCAAGTTCCGCTGTGTGTATACAGACGGCACATTGACAGCATGGTAGAGAGCTTGCAGCCACAGCAGCCAGAGGAGCTCGTGGAGAAGATTTCTGTGTGTACTGAGTGTGCAGTGACGAGTGACATTTGGTTGGTAGATGAGGTGATCCAGGTGAGCAGTGTAAGAGCAAAGGTAGGCTAGAATATGCTGCGTGGGGCTTGTCTGGGGCCTGTGGGGAGCCATGGTGGCCTGGGAGGAACGAGGTGGGAAGTGGGAGGTGGACAGGTGGTGGAGGACCAGGAACGACCTGCCTTCCGGTCAGGCTCTGTGTAGTCTGGACCTGTTCAGACTGCTTTTAGAAGGCAGTCTGTCCGTCACGTTAGAGGTAAGTCTGTTTTGCACTAAAACAAGTAGGAAGTAATATTGTGAGCTGAGATTGGGGTCACGAGAGAGAGAGAGCAGATTTGGGAGAGAAAGAATGTTCTTTTTTGAACATTTGAGTATTAGGACAGAATGAGACAGTGGCTGTGTCTGGCAGAGAGTCTCAAACCTGGCCGCTCGTCAGTATTACCTGGGGAACTTTTTAAAGGTACAGATTCCTTGGCCCCATTTCAGGTGTGCTGACTCGAAGCGTGCAGAGGGGGGGCCCAGAAATGGGTATTGTAACGAGCGTCCCCAGTGGTCGTGAGGCTGCCCCAGCCACGGCCTCGCCCTGGGAACCGCGTCCAGTGCACGGTAGAAAGTGCGCTCCCGCGATGAGCAGGTCCGTAGATACAGGTTGTTAACTTATAAATAGAGGTTATCCTGGAGGAATTGGGAGCGAGTGAGATGGGGAACGTGTGCAGAGAGGAGAGAGCAGGACCTGAGGCCACCGAGAGGAAGAATGAGGAGGAGGAGGAGCCAGCCGAGGAACAGAATGGCAGTAAAAGAACCAGAGTGTCTGAAGCAGAGTAGAAGCTAAGAAGGAGCGATTCTGCGGGCATCGCTCAGCGAGCCCCGAGTATCAGCGCTGTTGATGCGGGAAGAAAGGAGCTAAGATTTATTAAGTGCTCCTGTGCTGCCAGCCTGAGCGACAGATGGGACGACTTTCACTTACCATGTAATCTTTTTGTGACTGTCCAGTGGTGCACACTTTTTTTCCCCTCTTCTTTCCGTCCATCCATATCTCTTTCCTGCATCTTAGGAGGTGAGGAAAGTGGGGTAATTTGGCCAGGGTTGGTCCCCCAGTCGACGTGTGGCAGAGCCTCGTGAGAACCAGCCGTTCCTGGTTCCGGAGCCCATGCTCCATCTAGCTAACCAGTGCTCTCCCAGGAAACATGAGAAACTCTGCATCTTTGTGATTAGCCTGTCATCTCTGATGGCTGAGAGGATTTCGTTGTAATAGTGGGGGTGAGTCAGATTCTGATGAGGTCAGAATCTGATTGCAGATGAGGATGTTCGTCAGTACTGAGTGGTCTAACGTGGAGTCTGGGCTGAGTCTGAAGATGAGTAGACCAGGTGGGATTGAAGTTGGCGCAGAGGAGATGCCTGGATGTAGCTGGTTTGAGGGAGGGTTTGAGGGGCGGCAGAGAGGGACAAGAGAAAGAAGTTCTTCACCTGTGCTGTCCCGTTGGGTGGCACCAGCCACGTGTGGCCATCGAGAACTCGCAGTGTGATTCCTCTGAATTGAGACTTGCTCTAAGTATAGAATATACACCAGATTTCACAATGTAACATAGATCATTAATATTTTTATACCGATTCTATATTGAAATGAAAATATTTTGGACTAGCTGGGTTAATAAAATACGTTCAAATTAATTTTACCTGTTTTTAATGTGGCTACTAGAAGACTTTAAATCACACACGTGGCTGACATGACCGTTCGTGGGCGGGCGCTGCTCTGGACGAGGGGGACTGTAGCGGTTTAGGGGGCTGAGGCTGCCGGGCAGCAGGAGGCAGCGACGGGCCTGGCGCCCTTTCGCCTCCACTGCGCGGAGCTCTGACCCCGTCAGAGCCGACGCTGCCGTTCTGGTCGTCGGACTCAGCCCAGCCCACCTCGCCAGAAGAAGTCATTCCCGAATTCTCTCCTATACCCACTCCATTTCAGATTTCCCTAGTTGTGTCTCAAATGCCTTGTTTAGCCCATTTTTAAAAACTGAGATTTAGTACAGTTTGTATTACATTTAGTTCTGCATCTTTAGTTTCTTTCGATCCAGATTAGTCCCTTCGTCTTTTTTATTTTAACTTCTCCATGACACTGACTTTTCCAAGATCAGGTCAGTAGTCTCATGGACTGTCCCTCATCCTGGATTTGGGTGATCGTTTTTTGTGGTCTAAAATGTCATTTCCCTTGTTCCTCCAGCCCTTGCATTTTCTCTGAAGTGGAAGGTAGGTCTGATGGCTTGGTGCGCTGTGGGTTCAGAGTTTCGGACAAGAGCAATGCACGAGGCTGCTGGGTCCTCCGTCTCGGCCCGTCCCCTCAGGTCGGCCCAGTGCCAGGGAGGGTGGGCGTGGTCGCTGTGTAGGGTGACCACCAGGTCTCTTCATTGTGAAGTACACTTTTCTGAGAGGTAAAAATGTGAAGAGTGCCATTTTCGACCAGAGGCCTTACAAGAGATTAACCACATGGAAAACTAGCCAAATAATTTATTTAGCAAGCACAGTAAGACAAGCACCCCAACTGCTTCTTGGGGTTCAGATCTGAGCGTGGTCGACTCCACTGCTTCCTGTCTTCGCCGTGCTTTACCACTCCCTCCCCCTTTAATGCTGCTCTTTATGTGTCGTGCTTAATCTTCATGAGCGTAATCATGTTTTAGAAAAGCTAAAACGTTCCTCCTGCTTTACCATCTCACTTACTCACTCTGAAGTGATTAAAGTCGCATCACGATTACTGTTTTGTAGCGCTTTCCTAACACTAAGATTGCTCAGAATGTCGGGAAGCGCTTCCGCCCTCCTGGCTCCCCCAGGCCCCACCGCCTACAGCACCTGGTCTTCCTAGGTGGTCTCCCATCCAAGTACTAACCAGGCCCAACCCTGCTTAGCTTAGCTTCCAGAGATCAGACGGGATCGGGCGTGTCAGGGTGGCCTGGCTGTAGACGCCTCCTGGCTCCTCTTAGCTCCCGCTCGTGTTGCCCATTCAGCTGGCTCTGCATCAGGCAGCGTCCGTGGGTCCGGGCGCTCGAGAGGCCGCGCTGCTCTGGGACTTGGGTGGCATCAGCATCACACATGCTCGCTGAGCTCACATAAAGCCATGCCCCGCCCCAGCTCTGTGGAATCAGGGTCACTGGTTCCGGAACCACTGAGAAGATTCTGACTCAGAAAGACCTAATTCAGGCTTCGTCATTATGCAGATTACCCAACTTCCATTTCCTCACATGCCGAAGAGGCATGGAGGCTGCCTGCATCATGTCGCGGGAAGTGAGTGGCCTTTTATTCTGTGTCACCCTCTCCGTACAGAGAACAGAGCTGTTCAGGTCTTATGCATGCATCCTTGATGCCCCATGTGGTAAAACCGCATGCTCCATAGTTATGTCAGAGTTGAACACATAGGAAGAAGCGTCCCTGCCTCCCCCTCCTCCCCTCCACGCCCCCACGGTTAGGGCTCACAGGTAGTCTGTGCCCAGCTTTCAAGGTGGCGACTGATGCCATGTGTTCTAGTGCAGCACTTCTTGAGTGTATCTGGTGAAAGACCAGGGTTTTGGTTTTTATTTGTTTTTAAATTTCCAACCCATTGCAGATTAATATGATGCTTTTATGAAATATAATAAAAATGAACTACTAGACAAAGGACCACACATCTCACTGCGGTGTCGAATTGCTAATACCAGTTACTAAATCCTCCCTTTCAATCTCTGCACTTACCTGCCAGCTGGTCCGTCTTCAGACCGGCCCTGGGGCCACCCGCAGTGGTGCGGGCTCGGAGCACTGATTCTGATTTCGAACTGTGGGCTTCAGGGAGGCCCTTAGCACCTGGGATGAGTGTAGACAAGTGCAGGTTTCGGGGGGCAGGGGGAGCGCTGTTCTGTCAAAGTCTCCCTGCATTGTCCTCTGCACAGTACATCGCGTGCCCTACCTGGTTTCATGCCGGAGGTGTGTTTTTTTGACTCTAGGTGCTGATGTCCTTCCTTGTTTTTTAAAATTCATATTTTTATTGTTGAAACCATAGTAAACGTCAATACAGAGGAAAATGTAAAGGAAAAGCCATACATAATTTCACATACTCTTTTCATTGGAGAACTTCTGGGACTAATCGAGTGTGTTCATATGTTTTAAATTGTCCTCACAGTATATGTATATTGTTTTTTGCCTTTTGGTTTGACATTGTATTAAAAACATTTTTCAAGTTGCTACATGGAGTTTATGTTTGCGCTTTTTAACGGTTATCTGATCATGCCGGAAGTCTTCGCTTTATCTTAGTCACCGGAGTTGTAGAGTCCTTGGGCTTTGGAGTCAGTAGAACATCAGCTCCACTTAGGAGCCGGGTAGTGACCTTGGCAGACCGTCTGCCTTCGTGAGGCTCGTCCCGTACCTGTGGCCGTCAGGTGCCTGGCACAGTGCTTCACTCCCCTGTTCTGCCGACGAAGTGGGGACTTCTGCGGAGCCGCCTTGTCGTCTCAGTGGTTGGCATGTTCTGCCTCTCCCTGTCAGGAACGTCCAGGACTCCTCGGGCTCTGCGGTGGCTCGTTTTCCTCGTTCACGTTTGGGTTCAGTCCTGACCTTGCCACTTCAGCTGGCTCGTGAGTCAGCCTGTATCGTCGTCCGTATATGGCCAGGCGAGAGCCCGCCCCGTTGTCAAAAGCAGCCCATTGCGTCCCGTCTGAATTCTGTCACGTAATCAGAGCGGAGCCCTTGTGTGTGTGTTGGGCAGACGTGGCTCTTTCCTCGGGGATGTTCACTGCTGAGTGGTCGGTGTCCAGGGATGAGCCCGCAAAGCCAGAAGGGGCGTC